AAGGTTCAAGCGCTTACTTCCAAAGGCCAACTGTGGAGCTGTGAATCCAACTAGAAGTCAACTCCATTAGAAGGCTAAAATTATTTTGACTTGAATTGTGTTTTATGTCAGGGTCTTGCAATCTGATTATTTTGTCCTTTCCCTCCTTATTGTTCAGGAATATAGTGAGGCATCCATCTGAGCTACTTCTGAATGTTATCTTGTAGTTCTGGACTTTAAAAAATGCTTCATCCCTTTTTGTGTAGGCAACAATTTATGTATATCACCATTAAGGTAATCTTCTATACTTTATACAAGAGCTTTCTTGGAATACTTTTTGTTTCTATACATTTCCACAGTTGTTGAATGTTTGTTTTCTATGATATATATATATATACATACATACATACACACACACACACACACACACACACACACACACACACACACACACACATATTTGCCACATACCATTGTTTCCCAACAATGGTATGTGGTATATAGCTAAACCAATGTAAAGTATGCAAGGATTGATGCATAAAATTGCAACGTTGACTGATATTGATTAGTTTAGACTTGGTGTGATATTAATCTTTACTGGGTTTTTTTGTTCTTCTTCCAGAACAATCATAAAGCAAATCAGACTTTAATGTAATCATATTTCAAAGGAAAATTGGGAAATATCCCAAGAGAACATCAATATTAATTATAAAGAAAATATGTGTTACGAATATCGGAGTTTACACTACAGTATAGGAATTCCCAGTGTAATATTGAAGGGAAGTTAATTTTATCTTTTTTATATAAATTCTTGGTTTCTTTTTAGCAATTAAAATAACTGCTTTTTCTCTAAGCAATATCATAAATAGTAAAAGAATAGTAAGATCATCAAGAAAGCACGTAATAGGAATTTTGTCTAATCTGAGAAAGACTGTCACAGATTAGGTAAAATGTAACATTTTAAAGGCATATCTTAAAATAAATTCAAACTTTGGATGTGCTACAGGCCTTATGCAGAGTTAAAATGTGTAAATGGTTAACTTAACTAAAATTAACAATAGCAATAGCACTTAGTCTTATATACCACTTCATAGTGCTTTACAGCACTCTCTAAGCCAGGGGTGTCAAACTGAAGGCCCGGGGCCTGGATCCGGCTCATGTGGTGCTTAAATCTGGCCCATAGGGCTGCCCTGGAAACAGTTAAGTACCTGCCAGCAAAAACAGAGTTCGGAAGGGCTGCATGTGGCCCTCCTGAGCTCTGTTTTCACTGGCAGAGGGTTGTAGGAGGCCGTAACAGCCGAAAATGGAGCTCATGAAGGCCTCAGGCAGCACTCCCAAGTCCCTCCAGGGTTGCAGAAGGCTGCTGTAGCCAAAACAGAGCTCAGGAGTCTGTTTTCACTGGAAGAGCGTTGGGCCACCACAGGTGCCCCCGACAGAAGTGATGGCGAACTGGCCACACCCACCCTGACCTCACCCACTCCGGCCTCCCAAGGTCAAACACAACCCTGATGCTCAATGAAATTGAGGTTGACATCCCTGCTCTAAGTGGTTTACAGAATCAGCATATTGCCTCCAGTAATTTGTACAAGATGGCCGGGTTTTGTTTCTCTCAAAATATTGCTGGAGATATTATGTCTCAAAGTTGCTGAATCCTCAGAATCATACAATAGAAGGCTGCGGTACAGGGTCACACAAATGACTATATGACCAAATGACCAAATGACCACTTGACATGGAATGACCCTTGTTCAGTGGTGGTTCCTCCTGGTTCAGCCTGGTTCCACCGAGCCGGTAGCGGTGACGATATGACATCACCAAACCGGTTCTTCCCCCCCACCCCGCCCACCCCCTGCATTATTCTTACCCTTTATTTGGCCCCACCCCCAATCTATTGCTGACTCCTGAGTCCCAGCTAATCGACTAGAGGGAAAAAAACTGTTTAAACTCTTGCCGCTGGGCTTCAAAGGGCCACCCTACAGCTGATCAGTGTTAAAAGAAAACAAATGAGTAGACCGGTGCCTGCAAAAATAAATGGGTAGACCGGTGCCTTCAAAAATAAATGGGTAGACTAATGCCTGCAAAAATAAATGAGTATACCAGTGCCTGCAAAAATAAATGGGTAGACCAGTGCCTCCAAAAACAAATGAGTAGACTAGTACAGCTCTGCAAGCAGTTAAAAGCCTGGTAGACCAGTACTTCTGCTAAATCCTAAAGAATTGTCACATGACCATCAAGCCACGCCCACAGAATTGGTAGTAAAAAAATTTAGAACCCACCCCTGCCCTTTTTATTTATTTGGATCCTGCCTTTATTATTTTTACAAATAACTCAAGGTTGCGAACATGTCCACATACCTTCTTCCTCTTATATATATAAAATAGGATTTTTTAAAAAAATAGGCTAACTACTTCTGTTTATATTTGAGAAAGCTACTTATGCATGTCTTCTGGAAGTCCTGGTCTTTCAATAGAGATAACTCAGTCATATGTTAACAGTGTCCATTCTGTAATCCAAGTAAAACATCTGGCTTGATAGTTTATGGTTTATAGTTTATAGTTTGGCACAGCCAGTTTTCCTTCTGCATTTTGCACTATCCTTATATTGATCCTTGATCTTTTATTTGGCAAAATAAAGTTAGTTATTTATTATTGCCATTGATATCTTTGGTTTGATTCTTATTGGAACCATTTGTCCTCAGGACAAATATTTTTTCCAAAAGGAAAAAGGTACATTAAAGGTATTCTGATTTTGATATTGTGGATTTATTTAGGAAATAATAAAGATTACAGGACCGTTAAAAGAAAAAAAAATACTTTTGTTATTAAATTCATTTGTTTAATAAATAATAAATAATTTGATTTTTTTCAAAATCCAGTATGATACAAAAAGACTTGAACTTATGGAATAAAATTTTCCCTTGTACTAGCCCTTGGTTTCAAACTATTCATTTAACAATGATTGAAAGTGAAGTTGGTAAAATGTTAAAATATGAAGTTTCTGTACCATTTTTATAACGTGTTTGAAAACTGCTCCATGCCTGTTAGTGATGATTAGTTATTTTCTTACAATAAAGCATAAAATTAATTTAATGTGATCACAAAAACTAAGATAAACATAGTAAGAGACATATAGTTAATAAAACTAATATCAAACTGTATACTGATGGCATAAATAAGCCAGTAAATATTTCGAGTCTTAAATCTAAAACTCTGTTACAGCAATTATGGTAGCATACATTTACCCCTGCTTTTAGATATTTTTGGAGGGCTAGTTGCTAATGAAGAAAACAAGTTCATTTGACCTAAATGATTAATTAACAAGGGTGTCATTAGATGCAGATGCCAGATGATACAGAGGGAAGCACAACAATGCATGCAATATTATGACTCAGTACAGGGATATTACCTTGGCCCAATACAGGGACTTTAAACTTTCTTTCCAAAACCCTAGGTAGCAGAATACTGTCCTAAGCAAAATTGATTGATTGATATTAAAGAGAATGTAGAAAGTTACCATACAGGCCATTTTACAAAGATGAGGAACTTTACTCCTATATCTTGTAGACCCAAGTGAAGAGCAGGTTGCTTTAGAGCTGTGGTGGCGCAGTGGTTAGAGTGCAGTACTACAGGTTACTTCTCCTGACTGCTGACTGCCTGCAATTTGACAGTTCAAATCTCACCAGGTTGATTCAGCCTCTCATCCTTCTGAGATTGGTAAAATGAGGATTCAGATTGTTGGGGGCAATATGCTGACTCTCTAAACCACTTAGAAAGGGCTGTAAATCGGTATATAAATCTAAGTGCTATTGCTATCAGTAAAGTGGCTTTCTTAAATCTCAGTGACAATAACCATTGTGGTGAGAAACCAAAATGATTTAAATGGTTTGGGAGGAAAATGAAGATATGGTTGAATGGAACTGATAATATCCTCAAAAGATAATGTATGAAATGATGTTCAGATGTGGGAGAAGCAAGGATAATTTACAACGATAGAAAGGTATGGGGAAGCATAATGAACGGTGTTGGAGTAAATTAGATTTAACTATATTTTCTTTTCTATCCTTCCAAGTTTCTTTTGCCCGCTGTTTCTCACTCTTATTCTGACTTGGCGTAACATTCTTTATCCTGAAACGGAACGATTAATTAAATTAATTAATTAAAAATATACCCTATTTTTAAAACAACTTGATCTTTAAAAAGGTTTCACTTTTATCCATAGTGTTTTTGAATATATGTGGTTAAAGTCTTTAGATGGAAAAGTTATCAAAAGGAAATATAAAATAAGTGGGAAGAAAAGAATTAGGCATTCAGTCAGTATGGTTCACTAATAATATCCAATACGGAAAAATAATAGAAACTTGGCAACCAGGGAGATAATGAAGGATACCAAGTCATAAAATGTGTAATTTCTGAACAAAATTTGGTTATGATATTGATGAGTATGCAGGAATACTTGATATTAAAAACAGCCTTGGGATTTTATACAGGAATTTTATTTTATAAATAAAATTCATAAAATTTTATATGATTTAAGACTGTAATTGTTTCCCAAATGTATGAATTCATGTGTCACATGAATAGATAAATTTGTTGGATTAATGAGGATACCTGTGAGCCAGCATCTCCACCTTTAGTACAAGATTTGTAAGAGACAGATTTATCAGGCAAATGTATTGTGTTGTAGATATGGAATTGAAGACCCAGCAGAAGGCTGGTGTCAGGGTTCCAACCAACTCTGACTTCACTCAATTCGCGCCTCACCTCTGACCTGTTTTCCCCTCCCCCCCAAGGTGTGTCAGCTGTCTTGGTAATAGTCAGAGTGCTGATGTGAATTCATCTCCTGGTATTAGAGGTTCTTGTAAACAGAGACTACCTTCTGCTATATCTCATATATTGACATCTCCTCCATTGCATTTTAACATCTGAGGGCAAACTGATTCAAAGTGAGCTGCTTTGATAAAGAGTTCAAAGAAAATAGGGTATTTGTCCACAGGGTATAATGCAAGGGTGGGTTCTACTTACCTTTACTACCAGTTCTCAATGGGGCCGTGTGCGCTTGTGCTTTGCTTGTGCGCACGCGCGCTCTTCTGCACATGCGCAGAAGCATTGTGATGACGTCGGGATCGGTGGGTGGAGCCTCTGTCTGGTTTTTCTGGTTCTATAGAACAGATCCAAACTGGGGGCAACTTACATCTGGTATAATGGAACAAAAAAAAAATTATCTCAGGGCATCCAGAGGAGCAGTCAGTTCTATCAAACATAACTGGTCTGACATGTCCACTACATGATTGAAGCTATATCCCTTTTTAGTCATAAAGGGATTAATGCTTTGATTGCTTGGGCATACTTGCCATTACTGTTGACACTCCTATGAACATCTCTAGACCTGCAGCTGATTCATTTTTGACAAAGTGGGATGAAAGTAGTAGGGATGGTATACCATTTGTAGTACATATATAGCATGCCAAATTTTAGTTTGATGCATTCAGGAGTTTCACTACAATAAGGTTTTGAAATATTCCTCTGGTATCTTTTTTAATGTAGAAATAGCAGTATAGCATCATCCTAAGTATTGAGCAAAGAGTCGAAATTTTGCTGCTATAGTGCAGAAAGAGCTCCTCTCCAATTTAAAAATAAAAATGTTTAAAAACAAACCTCTTTCCTTTTTTAGACTGCACAACATCTGCATTCTGTGTAGTTTAGTTTAGTTTGGTCTATAATATGTATAATCTGTCTAAACATTTTATTTTTATCATAATTTCTGTATCTCTTCACAAAACTCTCTATAATTTAAGAAACATGTTTTAAAGCACTTTTTCAAAATCTTCTCTAAGGACAGTTTTTTCACATACCTAAAAAGATATTCTGTAGAATAAAGCAAGGTCTATTCTTTCTCTCATTCCAGAGAAAAAACACACAGATCAAGCAGTCTTGTTGATTACAATCTGGAAGTGGTTGTTAGTTACCTTTTACTATGATGTTTTTTAAAAAAATTCCCAACCTAATCTATAGCCCTGGGATTTATGACTATTTCAGATTCAAGTCATAATTTGATCTGACCCTATTTAACCTTTTCAGTGTCAACTAGATGTTACCATCTTATTGCTATGTGGAAAGAATGTATTTCTGAACTATTAGATCATGCCTGGAAATCACAAACTATATTGCTTATGAGATTGACTATGCATGCAAAGCATCTTTTATTCAAAATGCATCAGAAGAATTAACCTTGCATGTCTTGTCAAATATTCTGTCGTGGATTAACCTGCATAATATTTTCTTCATGGCCGGCTTTGATTTTAATATTTCTGTCTGATCTCATATTGTAATATATTTTATCTATCCCTATTGCTGTAGTTTCTGTGTTTATTCCATCTCTTCTCTTTTGTTTGTTTTTAATATTTTGGGGGGGAGCTCTGTATTTTATTTAAAATCATTTAATTTTAGATTTATTGTTTTTATAATAATTGAGTATCTTAAACCTGCTCTACATGTGAAAACTACATGGATAGATGAAGACTCATGGAAATAATAGATTTTCTAATTTTATCTTATAGAAAACTAAATGAACATAAAGATCCTGCATGATGTCAATGCTTAGAACTTAACTCATGTATGTTATAGTTATCTACCTAATTTATGTCATGAAGAATCAAGCATCACTTTTAAGTTGAATTTTAAGAATTTTTTTTTGAAATAGTAATTTTGAAACTTTACCAGAGAAAATACTGGAATTATTTCAAATGCAATAAAGTATAATAATTTTTAATTTCTCACCTCCTGTGCTACAGGATGGTGTATATCTTAAAATAATAATGAGAAGACAAGTTGGAAAGAGGTTGTGCTTGTTGACAATATACTGAGATATATTTGTTGCTGGGTGGAAGGATAAACTGAATTCAACATTTCCTGATATAATATGATTTAAGGATGTAGCAAATGAGGATTAAAACTGTGAAAACAAACAATTGTTGGACAATTGTTCTGAAGAACACTGATGCCTTACCAGTAAAATAAGAGATGCCTCCCCTCTGTCTGCTGTCCACCTATCCATGAGTTATCCTGCCTCTACTGATACTACTGTGGCTTGCCACCAAATTGTGATGTCTGGATTCTGAATAGACAGAACAGTTTAACTCAATCATTCAGAAAGATGTATTTTATTAAGTTTCCCAATGTCTTTGGGTCAGTGTTTCTAAATCATCATTTCTCTGGCTATGCCTGCCAGGAAAGATGTAGTAGGAATGTATCAGTGAAAAACACTTTCACTGGAAGTTTTTTGGTGTGAAATATTTATGTATTTGTTTGTTTATTTGTTTATTTTTCATTTTTCTAAACTGCCCCTCTCCCTTAAATAAGAATAAATTATTGCAGCAAAAAAGGTCATAAAAGGAGGTGCAACTGAATTGCTGATCAGCATTGCTGATCAGCAAGCCTTGTCCCAACTGTGGTCATAACTTGAAGACTTTAATTATGAAAATTAAAGAGGAAAATGTTATATATATTGGATCTAGCAGGTTCCTGAATGTCCATGTACTGCAACACATGTGAAATTAGGTGCTTGTTTCTTTGTTTGCTTGTTTATCAAACATCTCAATCACAGCTCTATATGTATTCCTATAGCTATTTGGAAATGAATAAAATGAGCAAGCAATTTTGTGGATGACGTTTCATCAAGCTTTATACCCTTCTCTTAACCTTTTCACATGCTGCTACTCTTGTTTTTGTGTTAGTCTAAAAGCTAAACCTGTACCACATGTTAATGAAAGCCTTTATATCATCTAAGACAATCTTCATAGAGTCTTCATTGCTGCAATGAACTCAGGAAGTGTTGACTGCAAAACAACCATTACAATTGCATCACAAGAACAGTGTTGCCCAACTGACCTACTTTTTTTCTTGTGTTCAGAAGGTTGTTTGGCATTGCTGGATAGGGATAGGCATACTTTGAGATGTACAGATGTATATCTTTATTCATATTAGTCTACAATGTTTGCTACTCTCTTTTTGGTAAAAGCTTAATTAGAAGATAAGAAAACTATTCCATTTTCCACAAAACTGACTTCACAGCTTTATTTATATTTTAATCCTTTGTATTAGAGAATGTTTTAAAATATAGAATTTTTACATCTGCAACTAACAAATATATACAGTTTTATTAAATATACAGTTACAGAAGTAGATGCCCTTGAGGAAAGCAGCAAGCTGTATTTTTGATACAAAATTGGAAATAGAAAAAAATGATAACATATATGAAGTACGGTAATATAAAACAGGCAAGTCTTTCCTGAACTAAAGAAATCTAATATTTGAATCAGTCAACAAAGACTCAAATTTGGTAGGTTACTACACTTGATTTTAATCAAAAGGCTAGTTAATTACTTCTTTTTTGAAAGAGTTTCAATGCCATTGGCAAAAAGATAAAAATAAACAGGATTTTTATGAGAATATCTGCTTGTTTGTCCAAGCCATACATTGGTATCATCGACTGTGAAAGCATTACATTATAAATTACTTTATTTACTACTAACTAATATTCAGAGACTAATAATTGCCATTTAATATTTCAAAATATTGATATTTCAATCACAATCAAATATTTCAAAATATTTCAGTGGAAAATATAAACATGGGTTTTTTGCTTAGTTAAGTAATATTTCTATGCCACATGAACAACATCTTAGGGATGTAAGAGGTAATACAGAAACGTTTGTTTATGTGGATTGCAGTATACTATATATCCCAAAGGTTGGGATAAACAAGTTGTTAAGACAAGAAACAAATGTGTTACTAAAATACACAGTGGCTGAAATTAATTCTAACAGATGATGCAGAAATAAGTTGATATATATGCTAACTTAGATAGAAAGAAATGTCATCATAACTATATTTGGTTTGGATTGTTGAAAATGGCGAGAGGTACAAAAGGATATGGAGACTTGGAAAAAACTGCAGCTGTTGTTACTTGGAAGAATAGCAGCAGTTAAGATGAACGTTTTGCCTAGATTTCTCTTTTTGTTTCAAATGATTCCGGTGCTTAAAAGTGATAAACAACTGAGAGAATGGCAAAGAGGAGTGAATAAGTTTGTCTGGAACGAGAAAAAGCCGAGAGTTAAACTGAAAATTATGCAAGATGTTCCAGAAAGGGGAGGCCTTAAACTTCCAAACCTACAATTGTATTATGAAGCAGCAGCCTTGACGCAAGCAAGTGATTGGTTTGGAAGGATAAAGACTGGAATATTGAATATAGAAAGTCATGATCTTGAATTTGGTTGGCATGCATATTTATTCTATGAGAACAAAGTGGATAAAGTATTCAAAAGCCACATACTTAGGAACTCTTTGATGAGAGTCTGGAAGAAGCACCGATTCAAATGGGATTACAAAATACCGCTATGGCTGGATCTTGGTCATATTATGTGGAATACAAATATAATGTCACTCGGGGGGGTTTTATACAAAGAAGTTCTTTTTATGGATGGGGGCAGATGGCAACTAAAGACAAAATATTGATATTTCAATCACAATCAAATATTTCAAAATATTTCAGTGGAAAATATAAACATGGGTTTTTTGCTTAGTTAAGTAATATTTCTATGCCACATGAACAACATCTTAGGGATGTAAGAGGTAATACAGAAACGTTTGTTTATGTGGATTGCAGTATACTATATATCCCAAAGGTTGGGATAAACAAGTTGTTAAGACAAGAAACAAATGTGTTACTAAAATACACAGTGGCTGAAATTAATTCTAACAGATGATGCAGAAATAAGTTGATATATATGCTAACTTAGATAGAAAGAAATGTCATCATAACTATATTTGGTTGGGATTGTTGAAAATACAGGTAATCCTCAATTTATGACCACAACTGAGTCCAAAATTCATGTTGCTAAGTGAGACAGTTGTTACGTGAATTTTGCCCATTTTAAGTTCTTTCTTGCCACATCTCTTAAGTGAATCACTGCAGGTGTTAAGTTATAACATGGCTGTTAAGTGAATCTGGCTTCCCCATTGATTTTGCTCATCAGAAGGTCGTAAAATATCATCCCAGGACACTGCAACCGTTATAAATATAAGTCAGTTGCCAAGCATCCAGATTTTGGTCACATGACCATGGGACTGCTACAATAGTAGTAAGTGTGAAAAACAGTCATGAGTCACTTTTTATAGTGATGATGTAACTTTGAATGGTCACTAAATGAACTATTGTAAGTCGAGGATACTTATATATACCTGTAGATATATATTGGATTGTTGGGATGGCAATAGTGAAATCATTTTGTGAATCTCTGATGACATGGTCAGTTTGGATGTGAGCAAGAGCCCAGGAAAATTTTGAAGCTGACTTGCTGCATTATGAATGAGTGCTTTGGGTTTTTTTTTAGCATTGTTGACAAATCCCCAATTGCCATTTATGAATAGCTAAATTGTTAATTATTAGATATTGTAAGATCTTATGTATTTGCTTGTTTGCATCTATCTGAAAACAACATAGTATCCCAATAAACAATTATACTTATATTAATGTTTTTGTGGTATCTTAATTGGAGACAATAGGAGAGCCAGTTTGGTGTAGAAGTTGAGGGCACTGGGATGGAAAATGGAAGAGCATGAGTTCTGGTCTTACCTTAAACTTGAAGCTAACTGCGTAATTTAAGGCCAGTAACTCTCTCTGATTTGTAGAAAGAAGGCAATGGCAAATCACTTCCAAAATATTGCCAAAAACGTTGTAGGAACTTGCATCTTATATTGAATATGCAGGAGTTGATTCCTTCCCAGGGTCTCATACTGCATGTTTTCACTTCTGTAATGCTATTTTGCAAGTAGCCTTTGTATTGGAACTCTGGGAAAAAGTTACATTCTATATGCATCAAGATATTTCTGGGGCATCCTTCCATAACCATGGATGGATGGAAATTATTGTTCAGAAAAGGCTGTATTGTGACTAAAACAAGAAAATACAAGGACTGATTGATGATTCCTAGAGCTACTGACTTAAATATAGTGTCACAATGAATTAAGTTATGGCACATTTATTTTGTTTGAAATATAAGCATAAAAGAAATCTAGTGAAGTTACATATTAAAATTATTTTTAATTCTTTCAACAGAAAACGCTGTTCAGACAATCTGATGGATGAGGATGAGAAAGACAGGGCAAAGAGGTAAGTAGCCAGTTTTTTGGGAAATGTATTTGTATGTTTAACATAGGTTTTTAAAGAAGAAAAACAGCAAGAAGCAAAAAAACTTGGTACTGTACAAAAAAAGCAGTAGAATCTCCATAATTGTTTTGTGCCATTCTTTTACATTTTTGCATTGAACATGGGTATGTAAGAAATGCAGGATTCTTTCCTTCATATGTTAGCTTTAGGAATTTGAATTTACAACACTAGGGTATACTTTCAGCCAAAGCAGTTCTTTTAGCACTTTGTTGTCTTTTAGTTTATTTCATTCTAATGTAAAGAATTAATTTTCTTAAGAACAGATCACAGTAATAAATAACCGAGTGATTCCATGTCTACTAAAAATTTAATTATGTTCATAGGGCTTCACGCAATAAGTCTGAAAAGAAGAGACGTGACCAGTTCAATGTTCTCATTAAGGAGCTCAGCTCAATGCTTCCTGGAAACACACGTAAAATGGACAAAACGACAGTTCTTGAAAAAGTCATTGGCTTTCTCCAGAAACATAATGGTAATTCTTGTGTTATCTTTAAAATGAAGAATTACTCTACTGAGTTGTCTTAATATCCATTGCTTTGTAATTAAGAGTTGAATGCAAATAATTTACTGCAACCGGTTGTTATTTAGCTGAAAACAACTATTTCCCTTTGAAATACAAATACAAATGTACTTTTCAAGTAGACAGCTATTTGAAGTTACAACTGCCAAAACATTTTAGGGAGATATTTATGCGAGCGAGATTCAAACAGCTTGACACAATGGTCAGATATGGGAGATTCCATTCTATACCCTACAATGAGCGTCTCTGCATTTGCGGAGTGGCAGAGGTAGAAGACCTGGCTCACATCCTATTTGACTGTTGCTTGTATAAGGGGATGAGAGACAGGTACCTTGGTCCATATACCAAACAAATGACCCATTGGGATCCCCATATCAAAACAACTTACTTTATGTGCAGCCAGAACCTGAAAATAACATTTAACACAGCACAGTACTTAAACAAAATGGTTCGATTGAGATCTGCATACGTGGGACTGATTGTAGATTGTAAGGGTGACACCGAAATATAATTTTATGTCATTTTACTCTATTTTATATATTTATGTATCAAATTATAGTGCATCTTATCCTATAACTATTATATTTTACCCTACTTTTATTTTAAATTGTTTGAATAAGATTTTATTGGTGATATGTTTTTCATCTTGTGCTTTGATATGGCCTATAGCTAATCAATAAAGCTAACTGAAACTGAAACTATTTCTCTTTGAAATTAGTTTGAGATCTTTTAGTTTCTAACTGCTGTGCTTTGAAATACTTCGTTAACATCAGGGTATCTAAAAATTAAGATGGGTCAAATTTTAAATATTTTACAATTGTTCTATTATTTAAATTATTTAAGAATTTAAATTATTTAAGAACATTTTAACAAAGTCCTGTTTAGCCAATTTGCCAGAAATAAGAATTTAAGCAGATATGAATCGTGGGAATTTTGAGAGAGTCATAGCTAGTCTCATGAAATGACGGCCTTAATTGTTACTGCAAATAACAGAACCATTATTTCCTAGAAGACTTATTGGAAAGGTAGATTTGAAATTGGAAGCCTAGAACATCAGACACTCTTGAATCCACTATTTTTTCCTCTAGCTTCCAATTCTATAAGGCAACTTGGTGATATCTATTCCACATTTACGTATTCTTCAACTTACAACTATAATTTTGACTGCAATGTCTGTTGCTCAATGATGCAGTTATAAATCGCATCCAATTTTACTACCTTTTTTGCCATGGTCATTAAATGGATCACATGGTTGTTAATCAAATCTAGTTCCCCTATTGACTTTGCTTGTCAGAAGACCCTCTGGGAAATGGGGAAATGGCAGTCATGTGATGCTACATATATGCTGGTTGCCAAATACCAAATTTTGTTCACAAGATCGCAAGGGTCATAAGCGCAAGTGCAATTCAGTCGTAATTCACCTTTTTTTTAGTGCCGTCAAACAAGTGTTAAATGAAAGGTTGTAAGTTGAGAATTACTTGTACATGTAATCAGCATGCCATCTCAACACACATGCCATATTAATAATAGTTGATTATTTTATGTATTATGTGCTTATAACTAAGCACAGTACAAACACAGGAAAAAAAATCTTGTGTACCTTTGCATATAAATCAAAACTTTTAGCTATAACAGTATGCTGTTTTCCATATGTCTAGAACAAAGTTGTCTGCAGTCTGATTCTATTTATTAGGCTTTTTTTGAGCAGATAAAAATTAATTGTAGATCTTTAACATAAAGTTAAAATTTATACCACAATTTGTCAAATAGGCAAAACAAAACAACTAAAACTAAACTAAACTAAACTAAAACTAAAACATTTGTACACAAAGAGAAAAGCAAGCAAAATGCACTCATAATGTACTTCACCAACATGTTTTTTTTTTCTTGCCTGCAACACTTCACTTTTTAAAAAAGATTCTGAAAATACCTTTGACACTTGGTGAAGGCCAGAGACATTAATGAAAATAACAGTGGCAGTAGGAGTGGAAGTTTGATAGTCCCATATAGTAAACTCCCAGTTAGTTAAACTAATTATACTTAATTAATGAAAATATCAGCATGTGCAAGGAATCTGATGGGTGCAAAACATGCTGTGTGTAGTCATCATCTTGGAAATACATGGCTTTGATATAAAGCCAAAATATGAATTATTAATTACAATTATTTTACATTTACAGTAATTACATTCCAGGGATCCTTCACAAATGATAGGAGACATGTTTTTAAAAACAAATAATATGTAAGTGGAAATATTGACTTTCTTTGGAAAGATACAGCTGTAGATAGATAGATAGATAGATAGATAGATAGATAGATAGATAGATAGATAGATAGATAGATATAGTTAGTTCTTTGGAAGATATAATTCTTTGGAAGATAATAGCTTTTCCATGTGTCTTTCAAAATATGTCTATTTACCTATGTTATATATTTAATGTGTATAAAGATATGCAGTATGCACAACAATTATAACAGGATCAAGATCAAATAATCAAAATCAAACAATTGAAATGCAAAGCAATGTCCTAGAATATTACGCCATGTGTGACAGGTATTAATAAACATCCAGAATTTAATTTAAGAAAGTTTTTGTCACTATAACAAACTTCAAGTTTGAAAGGGTGTTGAAGAGAATAAAGATTACTCTGTGTGATTTTCTCCTTTAAGAGCAAGTAAAGAAAAAAGGAGACTTTGTATGTTAAAAGTTAAAATTGTATATTATGGAAACTAAGGACCACTTTAAAGAGAAGATGCATTCTGCAAATTAATCATTCTGCAATTGAACACAAAATCCTTACCTTTGTAGATCCCTTATAGAAGTCAAGATAAATTTGTTTAAAAAATCTTATAGCAGTTGTGCTGTGACCTAGTCATTAGTAGATTTATAATAAGATATTTTAATTTGTTTAGAATTTTCAGCGCAGACAGAACTTTGTGATATTCATCAGGAATGGAAGCCCTCTTTTCTCAGCAATGAAGAATTCACTCAACTGATGTTGGAGGTGAAAACTGCAATTTTTACAAAAATTTGAATATGAATGGTTTTCTAAAGAAGTTGTCCCCTTCAGATATGTTTACTTCAAAAGAGTTATCAGTGGTGGCTTGTGAATTGATCAGCATGTCTGGAATATTTTCAGTTTTGAAATATTTAATTGAAGAAATCTGATGGTATTCTATAAGATGGGTATTTCAATCTGTAACTACAATTGTTGATGGATCTCTGTAAAAAAAAAATAACTAAAAAGCCATGCATGCCAAGTAATTATATAAAAGATTGACAAGAAGAGAAAACAAAATATAAACTACATGTAGTCCTCCTACATGTAGCAACTGGGAAGGAAATTTCTGTTACAATGTAGTCATAATTGACTATTTGTCAATTATGACATAATTGTCATAACTGACAATTTTACATGACCATATTGGCTATTTATAGGATACCTATGTGTTATATAAACCTTTTGGGGCAAGTAGGAATAAATAAATGCTCCAAAGCACTCACATTTTAGCTTGAAGGAGTAAGCAGTTTATAATCCAGGTTTGGATATAAATTGTGTACAGGCCGCATATAGTTTGCATGTATTTTTGATCATTTCATAAAATCTGACCAAAATCTCTTCTTCTTCATAGTCTCTGGAATTCACATATCTGACTTCTATGCCATATTCAGAGTCTTCTATAACTTGTTGTTTGCATTTCTCAATAGCAATACAAGCATCATTTTACTACCTCTTTTAGAGAATTAACATACTTTTTCCTTTATAGGCACTGGATGGGTTTGTTATAGCAGTCACCACTGATGGAAGCATCGTGTATGTTTCTGATAGCATCACACCTCTTCTCGGACACTTGCCCGTGAGTGGTTCAAATACATTCATTTTGTATCTTACTTACCTTGCACTAACACTCTCAAAGAAAGTCTTTAAAAAGCCATAAATACTGTTAAGTGCCATCATGAAATTTACCTTTGACCAATTTAAGAAAAAACTAGTAAATGAAATCTTGGACAGGAATTTGCCCTTTATGTGTGTGTGGCATCATGATTCATGTAAAAGAGATGGAGCTTGCATCAGAATGCCATAATTCTGATCACCGGTAAATCTCTTTGCTGTCCTCTTATGACTATGTAGAATTTTGCAATCCAAATTTGGAAGCCCATTGAAAAGAGGCAACATTATAGAATTGTTGTTAGAAAGGAATGTGACAGCGTACAGCATACAGAGTGTGTATGCAAGGATTTGGAAAAACTAAATAGTCTATACTAGGAGTAAAAAATGAGATGAAGAAGAGAAGCTGAGATCAGAAATTCTGACAATTAAATTACTAAAAACACAGACTATTCCAAGTGGATGAGAAACCGGAAATATGATTACACAGGAAATCAAGAGATAAAAGAGTATAAAATGAAAAATAGTGCAAGAATAAATACAGTAGAGTTGTCCAGACTTGTTAGACTTGTCTCAGGAAAGCTAAAGTCCAAAATGACAGAAAAATCCTGAGGCAACCTAACAAAAACAGACTTCTTTGACTTTGATTCAATGCAGTGAAAAACAAAAGAAGACTTGGTGTGCCAATGTGTTAAATGAGATATATCAATTATCTCCCTTTTGGCTGTGCCTTCTCCCATTACTTTTCTATACAGGAAAAGTAAAAGTAAGAAGGAACTTACAGCCCAGAATAAGTAAGGAGATGCTACTTCAAGTTTCCAGGCACAGATGAATTATATCCCAGAGTGATAATGGAGCTTTCTGGAGTTTTTAAGGATTTTTGGAGCACAGGTGAGATGTGAGAAGATTGGATACAAACAAATGTTCTTATTGTTCATTCAAGAATAAGAGATGAACTTGGAAGTCTGCTGTCAATATTAACCAGATTCAAAAAAGTTTCATCATTTCTGAAATTTAGGGAGACAATCACCTTGATCATGAAATCAAATTATCCCTGTTGGTTACTGCCTATATATAGGATAAAATAATAGGCATACAAGCAGATCTGATGTAAAAATTAAATTTTTAATACTTTCAAAATGATTGCAAAGAATGGAGATGCCTATTTTCTATCTTTGTTTTAATACAGTTTTGTCATTTTACAGTCTGAAGTCATGGATCAAAATTTGTTAAAATTCCTCCCTGAACAAGAACATTCAGATATTTATAAAATATTATCCTCTCATATGCTTCTAATGGATACTGTTTCATCGGATTATCTAAAATGTGAGTGATTTAAAAAAGTTTCTAAATAACTTTTTAAGTTGGCTTAAAATATTGTGATGCAAAATTAAATAAGACAATAAATGAAGGAGTTGATTAGCCATTTAAAAGTACACTTTTAATTTTCAAATTATAGATAGGCAACATTTACCTGTACAATTTAACACAATTATTATATCTTAAAATGGAATTGATTTCAGCTATATTAATTATAGTCTTAGTGAAGAAAAGTTCATATTGTCATCAGAAATTAGACATGTTCATAAAATATTTTATGATTACATATTGAATTCCTTTAATATGACTGTTCATAAAGTCTCAAAATTTATGTTTCTTTAGTACAAATGATTTGAAACAAAATATTAGAAGAAAAAGATTATATGGGAAATAGATAAAGCTTTCACAATAACAAGTGTAGATTTTAAATTTTATTTTTATTATTTTTGAATCTGAGACATTACAAAGAAAAGGAAAATGCCTTTTACATTCCATTGCTTTTCATTATCTTTAAGTCTGTGTGATTTATTTCATAGAATGGTACTGAATAATGGGGAAAGTGTTAATCTCAATCCTTGATTTAAGTATGCATGAGAAATATCTATTTATAGTTCTGAACAACCTAGATTCAGGCAAAGCTTCATCAAAACTTTGAGATATGAATCTTGTGCATCACTGAATTCATTGGGAATATTCCTTTTGTGTAATTATATAATTCATAAGAAACTGTATAATTAACAAATAATGATTATTTTACTCATGCCTTGTATTTTATTTAAATTTCAGGTAATGAGGATTTAGAATTTTACTGCCATCTTCTGCGAGGAAGTCTGAATCCAAAGGATTTTCCAACATATGAATACATAAAATTTGTAGGGAGTTTTCTATCTTACAATCATGGTAAGAACTTTTCAGTTCTATAGGAAGAAATTATGACCACATTTACATGGTGAAATATAATTCTAAAAAGAAACTATTTTAAAATATTTAAAAATACTTAAAAGGTATTTAAAAAGATGACTTGCTGACATTCAGTGCTTGGATTAAAAATCTTTCAGAGGTCAGCATTAACATTACTGGCACAACAAAGAATGTTTTCTAATATGCAATTAGGATTTCATAGTTCAGACTGAAATTCCTAACACTTTGCTAAGGAAGCAAAAAATATTGAGCTTTATAGGAATTAATTCAAAATGCATATGGTTATGACTGGAACTCACCCTGCAGATCAAAACAGTCCATTGGCCACATGATCTTTAATCAAAAAGTATTTTCTACATGTTGTCCATATATGGTTCCTCAAGGACATCTGCTTTCATCTTCCTCAAGGACATCTTCTTTCATCTGCTTCAGACATCTAACATTCTTTTAGCCATAATATTTTAAATGCAGGAAAAACGAGCAATTTCTTAGAATAACACATTAATTCATCTTGTTTGGGGAGCACTTTTGTTGTGTTCAGTTTTTTTGAATCTGTTATATTTGTATAATTTAATTAGCAGCTCAGTAAAAATTCATTTTCTGACAGCAACAAAAGTAAGCATTCACAGCAAAGTCTAGCTATCCTATTTATCTTTTATTCAATGTTTTTCTTTTCTTCCATTCTTTTTCTTCTTAAGAATCGTATGTTCTCTGTCTTCTGATCTAGAATGCACAATTTACCGTTTTAAAATTACTGGCATCTTTCTATAAGAAATCTTTATCTTCCATTCCCATTTTATGAGAGAAGTAAATATCTCCATGCTATATCTTTTCTCCTTTCTTTACATCAATGATATAGTGCCCAATAAACATACAGTAATTGAAAAACCCCAAGTAAGAGGGCCACAGATATAATAAGGTAAAGGTAAAGGTTCCCTTCGCACATATGTGCTGGTCGTTCCCAACTCTAGGGGGCGGTGCTCATCTCCGTTTCAAAGCCGAAGAGCCAGCACTGTCTGAAGACATCTCCATGGTCATGTGGCCAGCATGACTAAATGCCAAAGGCGCACGGAACACTATTACCTTCCCACCAGAGGTGGTCCCTATTTTTCTACTTGCATTTTTTATGTGCTTTCAAACTGCTAGGTTGGCAGAAGCTGGGACAAGTAACAGGAGCTCACCCCGTTACGCGGCACTAGGGATTTGAACCTCTGAACTGCTTGCCTTCATGTAATTATTGTTATAATTATCCAGAAAGGCATAACTCTTTGCCTTCTAATTTTCTTATCCAGTGCCTCTATCTGACTGTCACAGCTCTGAAGACGCTGTTCCTAAGGGTTACAGAACACCACAAGGAAAACAAATCTGCTTTGTTGCTACTGTTCGGCTGGCCACTCCTCAGTTTTTAAAGGCAAGTTTGTCTGTCTTAGAATCTTTCCAATAACAATGGTCCTACTGATATCTAGGATTGTGGATGCCTTGGAAAGGATTGAGAAGAAATAATTAATGTTAGATAATTTCTAATGACAGAATTAGCTCAGCACTTCTTCCTTTCATTAAAGCAGCCTGAAAGATGTAGCAACATTTTAAAAGTTATGTTAATGTTACTGGCTAGGAATTCTGGAAGTTGTAGTACCAGCCTCCCTACAGAAAACCAAACCAGGGAAAGGCTGATATATATGCTCCTGAATGGAAATAAGTATAAATAGGGAAAGTGTTAAAAGTAAATCAAGTTATTATCTGCAGATACTATTTCCAATCAAATTGTGAACATTGTTTAGATTTTTCTC